AATTTCCCTTTTAGTTATGTTGCATTACTCTGGAGCATTTGTTATAACTGAAGAATCCATGCTGATCCATTGTTATGAACGAACACCCATGGTTTATAATAGGGTTCGCTCTGTTGTAGAATTCTATCAGTTTTTGGGAAATTCATATCACTTATCTTTTTGTCAATACCGTGCAGAATCAGAATGGTTTCACCGTCCTACAGATCCTCTGTGCTCCACCTATTCATCCCTCTGTCTGAATCACTGTCAACCATTGTCTCCTTGCTCTAGAATATCCTGTAGTTGGAATGACGTGGTACATAACCTTTCAGACTGGTGTCTTTCACTTAGTAATACGCTCTTCAGTGATACGTCTTTTGGTAACTTTATAGTCATTTCTTCCTCCCTCTCCCTCTTACAGTACCACGGTGTCATGATTACTGCAACGTCATAGGGAAACTTGAGGTCAGGTGGTGTCTGTCTTTCAAACTTGTTCTTCAGCACTTTCTTGGCAAATATGAGTTTTAAAAATTTCCATATAAACTTTAGGATCAGTTTATGGACATTCATAAAATAATTTGCTAGGATTGTTGTTGAATAGTCTGCTTCAGGTTTTAAATTATGTTTCCTCTTTGTGTTTCATTTCAGAAGTTTCTATTGACATATCTCCAGGCTCTCTAGTCCTCTACTTGTGGCTAAGTGCAAACAACTCCTGAGCCCATCAAAGGCATTCGTTTCTCTTATGGTATACTTTATTTCTAACATTTCCTTGTAATTCCTTGTTAAAGGTTCTGTGCTCTGCTTATAATATCTTTTTGTATTTGCATCTGATTAACTTTAACCATTATATGCTTTAGCACATTAATCATACTTGTGTTAATTTCTGGTCTGATAATTCCAAAATCTCTGGGATGTCTAAGTCTGTTTCTAACTTTTGCTCTGTTTTTTCAGACTATAATTTTTGCCTTTAGCTGCCTTGTAATTTTGCATTACAAGTCAGATGTGATGTTTTGGGTAGAAGGATTGAAATACATAGGTCTTTAGTGAAAGAGTTTATGTGTATCTGGCTGGAAATAAGGCCGCCTTTACTGTTTGTGGAAGCTGTGGCAACAGAGGCTAAAGTTCGCTCTAGTGTCCTTACTTTTGACCTCTCTATTGCTCAGGTTCCCCTATAGACTCTTCCTTAGTGTCTGAAACGTTCCCTTCTTTCTTCTTCAATCTCCTATCGTTATGGAAGGACCTGAACGCTGTGACAGGAACGTATTGGGGAATGGGAAGTATTCTGTTGTTCTTTTATTAGATCTGACTCGTTTACTAAGTCTGAGTTGCTTATTTCCCTTTCTTCACATCCAAGGCCAGAAGGAGCTGGAGACAGGTATTTTTCTGTCCTGGAATTGGCTGGAACCATTAAACCCAAGCAGATAAGGCTCTGACGATATAGTTTTTCCTGAGCACAGCCTTTGTGAGACCGGAATAACTGGGTATATTTCAGAATAGGTCCTTTGACCCTCTTTCTGTCATAAGTGTGAGGGAGTTCTCTGATCTTAACAGTGAGAATCTGGAAGCTGCTGGAAGTAGAATTGATGAACATGTGTGCGAGCCCTCTCAAAACCGGGCACCCCAAAATTGTCAGCTCTCAAGCTAGTTCCCACTGTGCCTCTGGCAGTTCATCGGTTACAGTCCAAGTGCTCCCATTTGCACGGTCTCCAGCAACAGGCCTCTATTTCTGGGTTTTGGTGCTAGTAAGCTGCAGCTTTCAGCATTTATCTCTCTGCCCAATTATGAGGGCAGTCATTTGCCCGGTGCCCTCAAATCTCTAAAGAGTCTAAAAAGAGTCGTTGATTTTAGTTTGTTCAGGCTTTGCGAGTATTGGAGTGACTATTTGTAAGCCCTTACTTGTCAAATCAGGAAACCATGATTTTTCCACTTTAAAATCAGGACATTTTTTTCTTTATTGTTGTTTTATGAGTTCTTTGGATGGATATCACTTTCTTGTTAGATATGTAACTTGCAAATATTTTGTTCCATTCTTTAAAAAAAAAAATCTTTGGGCAATGCTACGGATTAAATCCAGGACACTCACACTGAACTACATTATCAACACTTTAAAAAAATTTTTTTTTAATTTTGTACAAGACAGACATCTTAATTTTTTTTTTTCCCCCCGGTACTGGGAATCGAACTCACGACCTTGCGTTTGCCAGGCAGGCGCTGTGCCGCTGAGCTAAATCCCCAGCCCCTAATTTTGATACAGGGTATCACTAAGTCATTGCACTACTGATAAAAGTGGCATGGGCTAGGCTCTGACTTGTAGTCCTCCTGTTTCGGTCTCTTCGAGTGCTGGGGTTGCCATGCCTAACTTACTTTGTTCCAGGCTGTAGGCATTCATTTTCTGAATGATCTTGTTGCCTGAAGGTTTTTAATTCTGAGGAAGTTTTATTTTTTTCTTATGTTGCTTGTGTTTTGGTGTCATATCTGAGAAAGTGTTCCCTAATGCAACATCACAAAATTTGTTTCTGTATTTTCTTCTAACAGGTTTATGCTTTTAACTCTTATTTTCAGGTACTTGGTCTATTTTTAGTTGTTTTTTGCATGTAATGTGAGTTAACAGCTCATTTTTATTGTTTTTGGTGTGGGGATATCCAATTTTCACAACATAATTTCTTGAAGAAATAATCTGCGCACTGAATAGTCTTGGCACCTTTATTGAAACTGGTTGGGCTGGGGATTTAGCTCAGTGGCACAGCACCTGCCCAGCAAGCGCAAGGTCGTGAGTTCGATCTCGGGTACTGGAAAAAAAGACAACAAAAAAAGAGTTACCTATAGGGGCTGGGGATTTAGCTCAGTGGCAAAAGCGCCTACCTGGCAAGTGCAAGGTTGTGAGTTCGGTTCCAGGTACCTGAGAAAAACCAAAAAAAAAAAAAAAGAAACTGGTTGACCACTGACAAAGATTTATTTCTGAACACTCAGTTCCATTCCATTGATTTACATGTCTGTTCTTATACCAGTAACACATTATCTTGATTATTATTGTTTTGTAACTAGTTTTGAAATCAGGACGTTTGAGACCTCTACTTTGTTTGTTTGGCTCTTCTGGGTTCCTTGAAATTCATATCATTTTTTAATCAGCTTGCTAATTTTTATGTAGTAACAACTGGGATTCTGGGGATTGTGTTGAATCTGTAGATCAATTTGGAGCTGCTATAGCAGCCTTAAACATATATTAAGTCTTCTGATCTTTGTTTAGCAGATGTTGGGCATTTATCTCAATCTTCTATAAGTTATATCAACAATGCTTTGTAGTTTTCTGAATATAATTTTGCACTTCATTTGTTAAATGTATTTCTAAGTATATATTATTCTTTCTTGTGTCATTGTAAATGGAATTTTTTTCTTAATTTTATTTTTTAGATAGCTCATTGCAAGTGTGTAGAAATAAAACAATATTGGTGAACTTACTAGTTATAATACTTTTCCTGGAAGATTCTGTAAAATTTTCTATATAAAGTGGAAAACTATAGTTTTCTTCTTACTTTTCATTGTCGATACCTTTCTTTCTTCTTTTTTTGGCTTAATTGTCTTGGCTTGAACTTCCAACAGAACAGAAGTAATGAGAATACACACCTAGACATCTTCCTTTTGTTCATGACCTTGAGAGGAAAACATTTAGTTCTTTCCCACTAAGTATAACAATAACTATATTTTTATTAGGGTAAGGAAATTCATTTCTATTTTTGGTTTGTTGAGTGATTTTAACATGAAATTTTTAAAGTATTCTTTTAAAAACTTATATCACATACCCAGAATAATATATCCTTACTGAAAATACTTTCACCCAATTATGGGACATTTCACACTAAAATACAAAGTTTTAACATAATGATACAGTAAAACTATATTACTTTCATAGTGATAATGACATAAAAATAGAGTAATGAAAGTGGATGTCTAATAGAAACAATTTGATTTGAAAATTTGACATTTATAAAATTTCACTTTGTGAATAAGACTCAGAACTTTATGACTATTTTCAAATTTTAATTTAATATTTATATGATATTCCAATTGTTATTATATTCTAATAATCAAAATAGAATCAATTTACTGTATGTGTTAATTTCACTTTAAAAATTGATAGCAATGTAAAATATTACTCTTCGATTATGTTTGCTTCTGAGAAACATATCCTAGATTCTCTGAGGTTGTGTGCTCTGTTACCTTGTGTATTATCTATCACCAAATCTCTGTATCCCTCCAGTGACAGGGACATCATTTATAAAAGGGAAGTAAGTATTTTAAAAAAATCATTGAAGTTTAAAATAAACCACTTAATGTGTACAAACTCTTTATAGAAAATTGTAAGTTTTCACTTAGGGATAAAATGAAGGGCTTAAATAAATGAGTGAGTATACATACTCTGTAGAAAAACTTATTACAAAAGGGTAGTAATTGTAAAAGTAAATACAATGCAGAAATGAATACAGCAGACTTTCAATAGGGTTTTCCCAGTACTTGACCAGTTTGTTGCAAACTTCAAATTGGAATAGGAGGAAGCTTAGAATAATCAAGATAATTTTAGAGAATAATAATGACAAAGAACTTACCTAGGCATCAAAATTTATCTTAAAGTAATAAGAATTGAGATAATAGGTAATATTTACTAGTTATAATTTGATAGATATTATTCCCATTCCGAACAAATGCTAACTCAGAAATTCTTTGACAAGATTTTCCTACACATCTCCATTATATAGATGAGGAAACTAAAGCCAAGACCTTACTAGTTTGTTTGTGACTCTTCATCTAGTAACTTCTAGAGCCTGTGTTCTTAACCGGCATGCTGCACTGCCTCACAGTGTGGTAAAATAGACCAATGCCAAGAACAGGAAAAACAAGTGTATAAAATATTTTATTAGACTGTGTAGCTTTTGGGCAGATTTGTTCTACTTACTCCACCTTACTTTTTTTAAAAAAAATTTAAATTAGTAATAAACAAAAAACTTTTTTCAAAAATCATGTAGGAATTTCTGCTGCTGGGAGCCACAGCCATTGAAGATCTTCTTCAAGCACATGTTCCAGAGACCATATCAGCTTTATTAAAAGCAAGCATAAAGATATGGATCTTGACAGGAGACAAACAGGAAACGGCAATTCATATAGGTAATGCATATAACGTTTTTTTTAAAAATCTCATTGCACATGCGTTCTGAAATTGTCCCAATATCAAGATGTATGCCTGAGCTTTTTTTGTTTTCATTTTATGTCTGTGGGAAAATGGAGTGAAATCGAACCTTGCCAAAGTCCTGGCAGAGAATTTGAACAAACTGAGCCAAGCAAACTGTGCTGGCTCCTTCACATCCTTGAAATGGAGACTGCAGAATGGTAGCATGAGCAATATATTATCTTCTTTCTTTCCTTCAAACCTTACAGTTTTGACATTTTTGCTCCAGGATTTGTATACCTACTACGTTTCCCCCCAAATAAAGCCTAACTGGAAAATAATCAGCCTTGGAAACTAGAGATAAGAAAATGCCAGCCCCAATCAGCCTGTCCTTACCCTACCTCCATTACAGAGTGGCCACTGAGCAAGAGGAGAGTGAGTGAACTATAATCTGCATGACACTGGCCCTCACCATAGTAATGACCAGCTAGGGCTTATTTTCTGGTAAGGTCTTATTTTGAGGGAAACACTCATCTATATATTGTATATATTTATTCATAAACTATTGACTCTTAGAGGTAACAATACCCAGTTGGTGATTTTCCCTCTCTAGTATCCAGTCTCACTTTTTCATTGCCTTTATAACTTTTTTTTTAATGTTCACTGTTTGATTACATCTTAGGGTTCACAGGCACAAGAAAGGAGTGGAAAAATCAACTGTGAATGTTGAACATGCAAATTTTGATGGTGACAAGGGGTTGGAACTATTATTCTTTTCATGATCCTCATGTTAGCCAGCTCTGGTTAGATGAAAATATATAAGAAAGTGACTCTGTATGCACTGGACACCCTTTGAATTTTCCTCTATTAATTTGTTTACTTTGCTTTCATTCAATGAGTGTTGATCACTTGCTGTTTGCCAGGAAGTTTTGGGAAACTGGGAATGAAAATTTGTGTAAGAAATTCTCTGCCTTCATAAAGCTTATATCCAAATGAAAAAGAGAGAAAGTTAACAAACAGATCAATGGGTACTGGGAGATCATTATGATATGTATTAAGAATAAAAGTAAAGCAAGGTATTGGGGAGGATCATATTAAAGACCTGTTAAGGAGGGGACTTGAAAGAGAGACCCATATGAAAAGAGGAAGTAAGTGTGGAGGACCTCTGGATAGAGCAGCCCAGACAAAGAGAAGAGTGAGCTCAACAGAAGAGGCGTGAGCTTGTGACGTCAGAGGAGCCACAGCAACGCCAGGGTGACTGGGCTGCAGGGAGCAAAGCAGAGAAAGAGGATGGCTACAGTAGATGAGCTGGAGGCTTCTGAGCAGGACAGGTGTGTCTTCCAATTTTTGCTTTAAAAATTCCTTTGTCTACTGTGTGAAAACTAGACTGATTGGAAGCAGAGAGGCCAGTTAGGGATCTTTTGCAAGATCAGACAAGAAATGAAGGTGACCTTTCCTAGAGTATGAGGGGAAAGTGGGCGATAGAGAGGGGTTGAACCGGGCTGCGTTTGGTAGGGTGAGCCGTCAGCACTCACTGAACCAAGTGCAGAAGGTGCAGATGATGCTTTCAGGGACTTTTGCTATGAAGAGGAACAGAGCAGAGGAACACGGTGGAGACAGGACAACACAGAGTCAGGGCGATGTTGATTTTTGGGAAGGGGTTACAGTACTTAAACTTCCCAAATGTCTGTTTTCTGTAAATGGGGATAATGGTATTTTCCACGTGGCTGGGTTGTTGTGAAGGTGATTTGTGGTCATTTCTGTGAAGAGTACGGTGTGGTGAGCTGGGTGTGGTGGCACACGCCTGTAATCTCAGCACTCAGGAGGCTGAGGCAGGAGGATCATTGCGAGTTTGAAACCAACCTGGGCTACAAAGTGAGCTCAAGGCCAGCCTGAACTGCATGTTGAGACTCTGTCTCAAAAAGACAACAACAACAAAAAAAGAGTATGGTGTGGTACCTAGCACTTAGCAAGTCCCTTATGTATATTAGATACTAGCATAATTATTAAGTGCTCACGTGAGGAGTCCAAATGACGTAGCCACTTACTGATCCAGCTGACAAATATGTGAGCACATACTGTGCTGGGTCGTGTTTTTCCAGCTGTCTTACATCTCTGCTTTAACGACTTGCTGTGTTTCCTGATGAGCACAAGTTCTGTGAGTACAGGACCTCAGCAGGCATCCGTGGGCAGGCCCAGCTGACCAGCACCTGTTACAGAGGGCGCTTTCTCCTGCCACCTTCCTAAGTCACACCCCATCAGCCTTGCCAGGCCAACTTCCTGAGGTTTATTTGTTTTACCTGAGCCTTTGATAGATGAGACGCAGTGGGTGTTGTCAGAAGGGGAATTTCTGTCCTTTTCAGAAGAGGCTTGTTTTTATTACTGGAAGCCTACAATTCTCTTAAATAACTCAGCTCAGAAAGAATGGGAGTGCTTATTTTTTCTCCCCTCAAAAATCCAGCAGCCTCTGGTCTGGGAGCGCTTGTGTTACTTTTGTGTGTTTGAATGGCTGGGGAGAGGATTCCCTTCTGGAGGTAGCTGCATCTGGGCTCCGATATCTTTATGTCTTTCTAAGAGCAATGTGGAACATAGTGGCTCAGAGTCACAAGCTTTGGAATTGTGAGGACCAGGGTTTGCACCAAAGCTGCTGGACTTCATGCTGATTTAAACTTTTTTCACAATATATGATGGTATGTATGAATATTCATTGTAACATATGGAGGTCAGTTAGATTCAGGCAGCAGAGGCAGCAATGGCTTCAGAAAAGCGGAAGCTCTTCCAAGGTGGAGCACAAGGATTCATGGGGAAGTTGGTTTTCCTGCCTGTCCCCAGATCCTGCCCCTGAGGCACTTGCACAAATATTTGCTCTCCAGCTTTCCAGTACAGGAGCAAAAATTCCCACATCCAGGCAGTCACTTGTAAAACTTAAACTCACACTCTGTCAGTAACTCATTACAAAATAAAAGTGTACACAAAGACCTTACAATAAAACATATCAAGAAGTCAGTAGGCTGCTGTGAAGGGTCTGCAATACGTGGTTTTGAGGAACCACTGCAATAGCCAAAGCAGATATGCACAGCCTCTGAAATAGGAATAGAATTTAGAACACTTCATTCGATGGAAAGGAACATAGCTTACGTGAGAAATTTCAGATGAATTTTCAAATGAATTTTCAGATGAATTAACAGGGAAGAAAGACATGTCAAACTGTTTTTTCCTTAATTGCAAAGATTGCAAACATTTTGAATTATATATATCATGAATGTCTTAGTTATTTTCCTGAGACAAAATACCTGACACCCAAAGTAAAAGGGGGAAAGGTTTATTCAGCTCACAGTTTGTAGAGGTTTCGGTCCATAGTAGGCTGGCTCCAAGGCAAGGTGACACATGGCAGAGGGCAACAGTCATGGTGGTAGAAGACAGCAAAAGCAATAGGAGCTAAAAGGGAAAAGTAAGCCTCTTTCTTCCCCTTTTATCTTTTCCAGACTGCTGGGATTACGGCGGTACCAATCCCATCAGTAGACTGATCCAGCAATCACTCACCCTTAATCCAGCACCCTTAATCCCAGCATTGCACTATGAATCAGTCGCAAATTACATTCAGCTGCCTCTGAAAAAGCCCCATCTAAAAGCGTATGAGGCTTTGGGGGGACATCTAGACACAAACTATAACAATGAGGCTTTTGGTTTCTTGTGTGATGTCTGTAAGTTTCAGGAAATTAAAAAAATTAAACTGGTAATGCAGAAAATTACATTTAAAATTGAATTTCACCTTATACATAGCTAGCTGGTGTAAAGAGGCAAATTATTTTAGAAAAATTGTTCCAAAAGACCTATAGGTTATAGGTGTGCAAAAGTTTATTTAAAGACTAACTTGTCAGAAATTTATCACAATGCTCTTCTACCCTGTAACATACTTGAAGAGACCAAATAATAGTTATATCAGCAGAAAGATCCCTCTAAAAGTTAAAAATGATCACAAATTACTAATGATCTTGCATTTCCTGAGTAACTGACATTGTTTTCAATTATACTGATTGAAAATGAAGCAGGTAAAAGGGTATATTTTGTTGATCTGCAAATGAATTTGCAGAAAAAAACAGAAATATCTTATGATTCATCACAATATATTAATGATTATATTTCATTGCATTATATACAATTATAGTGCCCAAAATGTAGGTTTTGATGCAGTTTGTATGTTGTTATTCATGTACCATCATTATCCCTGTTATGTTTCATAAATATATGAACAAGGTTCTTTTGAACCGTGGTAGGCAACCGTGGTAGGCCACTCTGCCACTGAGCTACATCCCCAGTCCACAGGTCCTGTATCTTTCTTTCACTGAAACGGATCAGGGAAGATGTATTAGAGATTTGCAGAGAGAGGAAAAGCTGTGAGACAGTCTAGGGAATGGGAGGGTTAATGCACCAGAGGATAGATGTGTAGTTAAGTATACACACATACTCACACGCACACACACACATGCACACACGCACATGCACACACGCACACACAGTGTCATGTACATATACTGTCTCAGTAGAACAGCCTCAATTCTTAGACAAAGACTGAAATAGTAAGAAGCGAGGGAGATGCTCACCTACTTAGCTCAGCATTTACAGGGGCTATATTCCTACAGTCAAACCACTACTATATTTTGCACAGCAGAATTAGTTCCCTTTGTTTATCCAGTCTTTCAAATCTTGACCCTTTGGGCTCTGAGTGGAAAAGAAGGTAGGTATCCCTTAGCTTCTCAGAGACTGTTCCGTTTGTTTTAAAATGACTATGTACTTGCATAAAGGTGTTACTATACTGTTAGATGAGAGCGCAGCTTTCCTCTGCTCACAGTATAATTTTGTATTTGGACATGACAAGGACTTTCCTTGACTAAATGTTCTGAGACCTATTTTTTTTTTTTTTTAACTAGACCTCAACCTGGACCTTGACCTTGTCTTTGGCCTACCTAGCAAGAGTTCTTTAAGTTGGTTTATTTAGTTATCTTCCAAGTTAATTTTATTGATCTCCTGGGATATCTGACCAAGTTTCTCATTCCCCATATTTGGACTTCCTTCAGAAAGGATTTTTTGTTTGTTTGTTTGTTTTTCTCTGGTACCAGGAACTGAACTCATGACCTTGTGCTTGCCAGGCAGGCGCTTTTGCCGCTGAGCTAAATCCCCAGCCCCTAGAAAGAATTCTCTTAGACCATTTTGGCGGGAATCCCCTTTATGTCTCCTCTGAGTAAATTTCCCTTCATGGACTCCCCACAGTCCACCCGTTTATAAATTCACACTTTCCTTTACTGTGTTCAGAGTTGAACCTGATCTCTCTGGCCTGTTGCAGTAGACCTGCATAAAGCCTTCCTTATCATTTTAGCTAGTACCAGAAATTTTTTATTTTACAGTCTTCTCTCAAGCCCATCCTGTTTTATTTCTCAGTTATTTCTTTAGTATGCTGGTTATAATCTTATTGAGATAACAATTTGATACAACAGATTTTTACTTCCTCCCAGACTTGGAATTATTATAAAGCAGGACTCTAAGCTCATGTCTAGAAAGATAATACAAATTAAAATCCACAGGAATAAATAAATAAATATTTAACGTCATGTTCACCTTAAAAACCATTTTTATGTAAGTTGTATGCTGAGATTAAAATGAACCAAAATTTTAATTCTTTTTCCCCCTATAACATCTTGCTCAGTTCTCGTGGTGGGTTAGTAGGCTTTGAAAAAGTCGTAAGGCAGAGAATATGACGAAAGAAGAATATAACTAGATTTATTTTTTGGTGCTCACAGAAGACATTGAATCTTCAACTATGATGTCTTTATTTTTCTCTTTGTAGCATATTCCTGCAAACTGATATCAGGTCACATGCCTCGTATTCTTTTGAATGCAAATTCAGTTCAGGTGAGTAATTTTTAAAACATTATATTTGAGTGCAGCTCACGTATTATTGGGAGTTGTCCAACTTCCCAACATTACCTTGAGCTCCCACTTAACCTGGTTGGAAAGTTCTGGTCTTCTCCTAAGATTTTACCCACAAATCTGAGAATTCCACTGTGTTTCTGTCCTAGGTAACCTCTGCTTCCTGGTTCTTCCTGCCTCTGTTGAGTTCCCACGCTCCACTCCATTTGAAGCTGGTCCTGTATTATCACCCTAGTGGCACAACAAATCACATTCTTGACTTTACAAGTAAAAATAGACAGATGAAGAACAATTTCACTGCATATAGAATTTTAGGGAGGTGTTCCTCATACATTAGAAACTGAATGTTTTACTTTGTTTCCTTCCTGACTGTATAGCTTTTTTTTCTGTATGGTTTTGGATGAGACATCTTATCTTTTTTTCTCGTTAAAGTAGTATTTTGTTCTAGTGTCTTCTAATATTTCCTTGTTTCTGATTCTTTGGAGTTTGAATCGGGTGTAGCTTAGTTTCAGGGTGTGGTTTTGTTTTTGTTTGTTTTGCTTTGTTTTGTTTCTGTTTATTGGTTTTTTTTTTTTTTTGTTTTGTTTTTTTTATTTATCTGAGCTTCCTGGTCTATGGCTTTGTATCTGCTATCAATTTTGAAAAATTTTTGACCATTGCTACTTAAATTTTCTTCTGCTCTTTTTCCTCTTTTTTTTTTTCATGTATCCTAGTACCTGTGTGTTGTAATTCTGTTAATTTGTCCCACACTCATGGCTAATCTCGTTTTATTTTCTTGTTTTTTTTTGCTTTTACAGTCCTTTTTCTCTTTGTATTTCACTTTAGGAAGTTTTGATTGACACATTTTTAGGCTAATTTTTTTCTGGGCTGTGTCCTAAGAAATCCTTATTTCAGTTATGGTGCTTTTTAATTTCTAGCATACTTTTTAGAGATCCCATCTCTCGGCTTCTGAGGAGTGATCAAAAAATACAATATGTGCCTAAATTGAAAAATTTAAGACAGATGGTCATTAATTCCTCTCAAAATAGTCCCCCTTGCTTTGAACACACTTCTCTCATTACTTTTACCATTTTCTGAAGCAGTTCTGAAAGTTCTCTTTTGCCAGTGTCTTTAGGTGTGTGGTCATGGGCCCCCTGATGTATGAGCTGCTGTATGTTTACCTTTCATGGTCACATGACTTTGAGGGAGAGCCAGAAATCTCACAGTGTCAGATCTGATGAATAAGGGGGTGAGGACGCATCGTAATGTTTTTCCAGCAGTTTGATCGAGATATTCCTAGTCATTTTGCTTTTTATTTATTCCATTTGGGCTTCACCAAGCTTATTAAATTTCTATATTTATGTTTCTTGCTCAATTTTTCCTCATTTTTTCAACCTTTTTTCCTGGAATTTAAATTATTTGTATGTTAGATCAAGAGATATTTTCCCCCAGCAAATCTCTGTATTCTGCTCACTTTTACTTTACCCTTTGATTTTTCATATTCATACTAGACAGTTTTCATTGGTTGATCTTAAATTCACTGACTTGTGCCACTTCCACTTTGCTTTTATGTCCATGGATGTTTTGTTTCTCTCAGCCATTGTGGTTTTTAGTCCTTAAATATACATTTTGTATTTCTGTGCTGAGATTTTCAATCTTTTTACTCTCTAGGAGCATAATTATGATAACTCCTTTAAATTCTTACATCTGGGTTAATCTTATAGTTAGCGCGTATTTTCTGTCTTTAACCTTCGGATCAGATGGTATTTTCCTGATTCATCTACTGTGAATAATTTGGAATTGAATCTTGAACACTGTGAATGTTGTGTTGTGGTGATTCTGGATTCAGTTGTGCTGCTTTATTCAATTCATTGTTAATAATTCATCCTGATATTGGGTTACATTTAACCACAGCATTTATGGTTTCGCTTTCCTGTCTTTCTCCTTTCCAAACTATTCTCATTGTCTCTGGCAGGCCTGGTTACCTACGGACTTTCCCCGGGTCTTTCTGGGCAGAAATATGGCAGTATTTGTTTATCTGCCTCCATATCACTGTCATTGTTTGTCTGAGGGCAAAGTATAAAAAAAGAAATGTAATATACTCAGTATTTGCTACCTGTTCCACATTTGACTTCTCTTCAAAACCCACTTACCTCTGTTGATTCTCCAGAAACCATACTACCTGTATTAAGAACTCTTGGTATATTTTGATAATGTCATTTATGCTTATATATTTATTGGTAAATCAGTATACATAATTACTTAAAACTAAAAGTAATTTTCCATGTATATGCTATATATCTTATTCAATTTTTTATTTTTGTTCTTCCTGATACTAAGATTATTTTTAAATAATTCTTTCATGAATAGTTTTTTGTAGTAAAGAGAAGTGAAAATTTACATTTTTTATTATCATTTCAAAGATACAATTTTAGATCTTATTTTTGTTACAGTTTTGTTTGCTTGTTATTTTCTATTTCACTAAATTAACGTATATACATGCATATATATATTTACACATACACATGTACACTTATATATTTATTTTCCAGGGTTGAGAATTGAACTTAGCATAAAATTAATCTATTTAAAATGTATAATTTGATGAATTTTTAAATATCCACAGATATTTACAGGTAGATTCATAGTAGAGATTGTTTGCATCACATCTAAAAGAAACCTCAGTCCTTTAGCTATCACTTTTATTTATTTTTTTAAGTTTAGCTTTATTAATACATGTTTGCAGTACATAATAATCACACCCATCATGAGGGATTTATTTGTAAATTCATATAACACATCTTCACTTTTTTATTGTTGTTCCTTTTTCCTCCTCATTTATAAAAGCTCTATTTTCATTTTTTCCTTCAATTCTTTTTTTAAAATACCTTTTCTCTCTCCCCTCCCATTTCTTGTTCCCCTTCCCATTTGAACGAGTTCTTCCTACTTCCTAATACCTTATTTGTAACTGAGAGTTTCTCACATAAAAGAAGGAATATGATATTTAAACTTATTTGCACTTAAGATTATGGTTTTGAGATGCCTCCATTTACCTGAAAATGTCTGTTTTCCTTCTTTATGGAGACTAGTACTCATTATATACAAATACCACAGTTTCTTTACCCATTCATCTGCTGATGGGCATATGGGCTATTTCCAAGATTTAGCTATTATGAATTGTGCTACTATAAACATGGGCCTTCATGTATTGCTGTGGTATGATGACCTTAACTCCTTTGGGAAGATTCCTAGAAGGTGAATAGCTCGCTCAAATGGAACCTCTAGTTTTAGTTTTTTGATGAATCTTCATACTGTTTTCTATAGTGTTTGTACCAATGTACACTCCTAATAATAAAGAAGGGTTCCTTTTTCCTCACAGCTCCATCAGCACTTGTTATTGGTTGATTTCTTGATAATAGACATTCTTACTGAAGTGAGAGGGAATCTCAATGTTGTTTTAATTTGTATTTCTCAAATGGCTGGTGGTGTTGAGCATTTTTTCATGCATGTATTGACCATTTTTACTTCTGAATCTGAGAAGTGTTTATTCATTTCAGATGCCCATTTTTAAATTGAGTTTTTAAATTTGGAGAGGGGGTCTAATATTTTTGAATTCTTTAAATATTCTAGATATTAGTCTTCTGTCTGAGAAACACATCACAATTCTTTTTCCTATTTTCTTATCTCTCCATTTTATTGGTGGTTTCCTTTGCTGTGTAGAAGCTTTTCAGTTTTATGAAATCCCAGTTGTTGATTCTTTCAATATTTCTGTACAACCAGGGTTTTTGTTTATAAAGTTCTCACCTACAAAACTGTTTTCAGAGTTTTACCTGTTCTATTTTCCAGCAGATTTTGTGTTTCTGTTTTAATATTTAGATCTGTAACCAATTTTGATTTTAGTTTCGTACATAGGTGAAAGATACAGGACTAGGTTTAGTGTCTGGCATATGGAAAGCCAGTTTTTCCCAGCACTATTTGTTAAAGAGGCTACCTTTCCTCCAGTGAAAGTATTTGGCCATTGTCAAAGATAAGGTAGCTGCATACACCTGGAATTGTTTCTACATCCTTTATTCTGTTCCACTGATCCACAGCTCTGTTTTTTTCATTTTGTTTTGTTTTCCAATACTGTGCCGTTTTTATTACTGTAGTATCATTTGAAGTCTGGGATTGTGATATCCCTTGCTTTGTCTTGATTGCCCAGAATTGCTTTTGCCATTCTAGGCTCTTCTGGGTCCATACTAATTGTAAGATTGTTTTCTTCATATATGTGAGGAATCATGCTGATATTTTGTTGGGGTTGCATTAAATCTACATAACAGTTTTGGAAGTACGGCCATTTTTAGTATATTAGTTCTGCCTATCCAGGAACAGGGGATATCTTTCCATTTTCTGGTATCCTCTTCAATCTCTTTTTTCAGAACACTATAGTTTTCATTGTAGTGGTCTTTCACTTTCTTGGTTATGTTAATTTCTAACTATTTCATTTTTCTTGTTGCTATCAATGGATCTAAGATTAAGACTAACTAGTCTAAGAGTAATTATTAATTATTCATAGATTAATATAGGATTAATTGGAATCAATGAAAAATCAGAAGATAGCACAAGAAGAATCAAAAAATCTTTTTACAGGATACCAGGAAACTTTCCAAGCATGGAAAAAGATTTTGACATACAGTAAGTGAGGCATACAGAACCCCAAATAGACATGCTCAGAAAAGAACTATACCAAAACATGTCATAGTCAAGTTTCCAATAATTCAACAAAAGAACAGAATCTTAAAAGCTATTAGAGAAAAGAAGCAAATCACCTATGAACAAAAACCAATCAGAATTATAATAGACTTCTCAACACAAACTCTAAAGTCAAGGAGAGCTTGGAGTGCAGTGTTTCAAACCCTAAATGAAAACAACTATCAGTCATGATTGAGGTATCTTGCAAAATTATATTTCAAAATTGATGGAGAAATAAAACACTTTAATGATAAAGAAAACCTAAGGAAGTTCATAACCACCAAACTAACACTCTGGAAAATTTTCAAAGATATTCTAGAAAAAGACAATGAACATGAAAATGCTGAAAAGCCTAATAGAATGAATCCTCCAGGCAAGGCAAGCAATTACATAGAAGAGAAAGAAAGGGAACCAACACTAGAAAACTAGTACAATGACAAAGATAACTCAATACCTATCAGTTATAATCATCAGTGTAAATGGTCTCAATATGCCCCTCAAAAGAAACAGATTAATGGAATGTATCAAGAAAAAGGATCAACAATATGCCACATACCAGTAACACACTTACCCCAAAAGAAATTAATAAACTGAAAGTCAAAGGATGGAAAACAATACTGAATGCAATGGGAACTCAGAATAAAGCAGAAGTAGCTATTCTAATTGTAGACAAAGTTGATTTCAAGCCAAGACTGATTAAAAGATACAAGGTCACTACATACTGGTTAAGACAAGAATTCAACAGGAAGAGATAACAACCATAAATATATACATACCAAATACCAGTGCACCTAACTTCATAAAACAAGCACTAATGGACATGAAAAATCAGATAAGCTCAAATACAGATGTAATGGCAGAACTCAGCACCCCACTGGCACAAACAGACAGGTCAGCTGGAAAAAAAATCAACAAGGAAATAGCACAGTTGAATCAAACCTTTGAACAGATGGGTTTAATAGATGCTCACAGAGCATTCCACCCAACAACAAAAGAATACACATTCTTCTGAGCAGCACATAGGACTTTCTGCAAAGCAGTCTTAAGAGGGAATTTTATAATGGTGAACAGAAAACAAAACAAAGCCAAATAAATAACCTAATGATGAACTTCAAGGTTCTAGAAAAGCAAGAACAATTCAAGCCTAAAGTTAAGATCAAGAAGGAAGTTATAACGATCAGAGAAGAAATTAATGCAATTGATACTAAATAAAATAATACAAAGTATCAAAGAATTAAAGAGTTGGTTCTTTGAAAGATTGAAATAGACAAATAATCAACCTTATCAAAAGAAGAG